GTTTGAGACGCACGGGAATGGGTCAAAATTCATTGGGGGGACGGCAGGTTTTAGTCCATGTTCCATTTGCCAGGGTTCCTTTTGGGCACCTGTTTTTGACCCACAGCCACATGGTTCGGGGTTGCTTTCACGGAAGGCGATTCGCCGCTCATTTTTTTCGGTGGAGATTCACCGCCAGGGAGGAAAATGTGGCACAACTCCAACAGATGCGCATTCATCCCGCCGAGTTGTTCAGGTTTCAAGGGGGCCAAGGAATCGCCCTTGGGGTGTGTGACGGTATGTGTCAAAAGACCCACTTGGTTATGCCTCAAAAGAAGCCGCTGCATGTTCCTGCATTCCAAGTGTAGCAATACATCCTCATTGGGTATGTGTCAAAGAAGCTTCTCCGAATTCGTGCATTCCAAGCAACCCCAGTGGGGTACCCGTTGATTTAAGTTTAGTCTTCGGAGGTACGTTTTGTTCAAAACTGCCCCGTAGTACTGCAACACCATGAAGAGTCAACAAAAAACGATAGCGATCGTGGGACGCAGCCTTGTCAGCTGGGAAACACACACACACACAGCTTGCTGGATAGCAAACAGGCCAGACTTGCTAGCTCAACAAAACCATCACAAATGATAACGAAAGCGACAACGTTTCGCACAGTAATGGCCTTTTGCATGCCTTCCTTCGAGATCGAACCTGACAATGGGGAAGCCGGCGGCGGACCTCGGACCTCGGGCCTCGGGCCTCGGGCCTCGAACCTCGGACCTCGGAAAGCTCATTGTCAGCTGCGCGCTTCCTTCACATCCACACGTTTGCTGATGTTCGAGCTACAGCCGCCAAGCTGTACTTTGTGTACGGCACATGTACTGAACAGTTGAGATGTTCGAGCTGTTGCCAAAGCGTAATTCGTGTACTGCACTGGTCCTAAAAGGCTCGCGAGCTCGAGGTTGAGAGTGCAGAAAACACCAACACAGCAAATAAAGGAAGGAGAACCCCCAAAAAGGAACTCTAAGAGCAACGAGGTTTTTGGAAGCCTCATTTGCTTATATGTCAAAAGAAGCTGCTCCAAGCGTTCCTTTTGAAATCAAGGGCCCGTTCCGTTTTGAGACCTTGGGAGTAGCAATGTATTTGCGAGTTTCACCACCCGCCCCTGAATAAGTGGGGTTTGATCAATATTCCTGGCCCGCAACTGACCATGATGTGTAACTTTTCATTGGACATATCCTCGTTTCCAACCTAAGGGTCATCCCATGCTCCTTGGATGTCTTGATCAACCCCCGACGGGTTTCCCTTTGGTTTCCCTTGAAAACAAATTCCAGCAGTGCAGCGAACCTCCCACCCATCTTGCTAGGTGGAGACTTGCAGCGCTGGCGCCTTGGCGATGCCAAGGTCTTTGTGGCGGCAGCAGGCGCATCGGACCAATGGGACCGTTTCGGCACAAGCTAAAGGGGGTGGCTAGCCTTAAAAGCATGCGCCCAAGAACCACCTGCTTTGCGGGGGAATCCTTTGAAGCTGCACACGGCATCCTGCTACTTTCGCCCGTTTTGGTGATTTAAACATCAGTTGTTGGTTGGGCTGATTTACAGCGAGTTTCTTTGTGGGACGATGTTTTTAGGTTGGAAATACCGGGAACTCGGCTTTTCTTGCGGCACTCAGGAGGTGCTGTGCCGCTCTCTTTGATCCTGGAGGAGCTGTGAATCAGTGCCTCGTTGCGTACCAAAGCATGGACCAGGGTCGGACAGGTGCTTAGCTGGGATGGTTGAGGTTGACCTATGTCGCTGCTGGGCGACATAGCTAGGGTTGTCTTCAAACCAACTTCCAAGGCTCCCCTGCATGCGAGATTGTCTTCGTGGGAGCATTGGCAAGTTAGAACGGATTCATGCGTTTAGTCCGTGTTTGGAAGGACATGAGGCAGCAAGTGATAGCAATGGCCGTCAACAGCGACTGGGGCTATGTAGCCGTCCTGCTGGAAAATCCAGAAGGGTCGGCCGTGTGGATATCGGAGATGCCGCAGTGGCTTGGATGCAAGAGCTATTGCCAATTTTTGAGCATTGCGTGCAGATGCTTCACAGTGACCTCATTACCAGGCCCAAGCCATTCTAAAGTTGTTGATGGTGTCAACCCCGCGAGGCTGTCTTTTTGCCAAAATTCACACGATCAGGCGTTTTTGGCAGTTGTGAAGAGCGCTCAAGTGCGCAGCACTGCACATGGCAAGCGCACCTGCTCAAGTGCACCCACTCATCACGGCTAAATGGTAGGCAGCAAATCCCTCAAGTGCACCCTTTCAGCACTGAGCACACGCCTGGCAAATGGCAAGGGCGCAAGCCCGCCAAATTGCAAGCGCGCCTGCTCAAGTGCACCCGCTCAGCACTGCACACACACACACACACTCACACGCCCGCCAAATGGTAAGCACACCCGCTCGTAGCATTGAGTCGCTTGGTAAAGCGATGCAGCGCGGATTTAGAGCGGACGATTCGCCGAGCTGTCGCTGATGTTTGATTTACGCAACTTGTTTGATAGACGAATCCACGAGGTTGAATGGTAAAACCCTGCTGCATTTGTCCAAGTAGCAGGGGCTGAGTCTCATTTGCAGCCTTCGGTACGCGGAGGTCTCGCGCGCAGCTGGTATCAGGGCGGTACGCTGTTGCAGAAGGCCGGGTGACACCTGCGCGTGCCCTGGGGTCCTTGTTCATCCCCTTTAGGTGGCTGTTATCATCAGTTGAGCCAGTTTGAAGTGAGTTGTCCCTTTGGGCGGGTTGGTGTTTAAAGGCGAAATGCCGGAAATGCCTCTTCTCCGATCGGCCGCTTACGTGATGAAGACTGGTATGAGGTTTGGTAAACATTTTCAGTAGGCTATGGGACATTTCCAGTAGTACCAGGAGTCCACCAATGACAAAACTGTTTCTTCAAGTAACATTTAATACACACATGAGTCGATGTGTATGTATATATGTATATATAAATAAATAAATAAATAGACACGGGGCGACACTCAATTTCCCCTACAAACGCTAGAGGGAGTCAGTCACTCGTCCATTGTCCCATATCATTTGCGGGAGCAGGTCTGAATTCAGGGTGACGCCGTGTGTTCTCTTGCGGGCCAAGACCGTGCCTCAGGCGACGCCCTCTTCCATGAGAAAGCATTGGGTACCCTGCGATGCCCGGAGCCCAGCGAAAGGCAGGGAGGCAGAGGCGCGGCGTGTGCTCAAAAGATTTGGGGTCAGCAGTCATGTTGAGATTCATGGCCCATGGGTCTTAAGTGGGCTCACTGCCTTAGGCTCGAGGCTGGTGGCGCTGTGCTGGGTTGGTGACGCGAAGCTGCTGGCTGTCACGGAGACGGGATCTCTGCTTTGGGCCAGCGTGGACTCTGTGCGGGGCCTGGATGCCTGGAATCAGGCGCGGAGATGCGCACGCTTTTTTGCGCGTGGCCCATGGAAAAGTGCAGAGATGCTGGGCATCTCAGCAGTGACAGATGTTTGCAATCTCTTTGAATGGCTCCCGCAGGCCTTGTGGAAGACAGATGCCGAGTATGACGTCTCTGTGAATGCAGTGCAACAACTTCAGGCTGTTTCGGAGGACGGGGGGCCACTCATGGATTGGCAGATTCATCCTGCGTGCCTTGCAGTGTCCATGCGTGAAACTGGGCAGGCCGACAACTTGGTAGGGCTCATGGTGGACGAGATAGATGGTTTGTACTGCATCCTCGCACGCGTGGAGGCGTGGTTCTACGTCTACCCTCCTTTCCACAGTGGCAACTTGTCTTGCTGGTGCTCAGCAGGGAATGAGGGAATGAATGTAGGGATTCCCTTAAAGGAAATTGGGGATGGTTTATAGAGGTCATTCCCTCATTCCCTGCCTATCGCATCAGCAACTTGTTGGCTAGGTGACCAGCAGTGCACTCTCCCTGCAACGGGTCTTCAGTCACAGGCAGGTTTCATTGGTGCTTCAGGCGCTCGCGCTGTTCTCAGCTGCCAGGTGCGCAGGACGAGGTCCTGTCTGCTTTGCGACTGAATGGCTGGCTCCTCAGTCTCAAACATGAAGCGCCTGCAGCGACCTGCGTAGTGACAAACACAAGTTAAGTTACCTGGTTGTGTGTGTGTGGGTGTGCGGTGTGTGTGGTGTGTGCGCAGAGAGAGTTGGTGAAGTCAGCTTGCGAGTGGCGCCGGTGCTTCTGCGAGAATGAATTTGGCCATGTTATCGTAACTGTACTGATAGCAATTACAGTGGAGACTCATGCTGCAGAAACAGCGTGCTGATGGATGAAGTACGTGGTACACATATAACATTGGGCGAATATTGGCCCGGCAGCGATGGCAGAAAATCAATCAGGGACGCCTTTTGGATCAATCATTGATCTAAGGGCAAACTGCACACTTTTTCTTTGCAACACACCTTGCAGTGGCCTTTATACCAGGCCGCGCAACAGGGTTTAGTTCGGGGGAAGTAAGTCCCTCTGGCACTTGAACTTGCAAGAAGGACATAGACCGAGCCTTGATTGCCAGACGCACACACACACACACACACAAAGGTGCCATGTTTAGATCTTGTGCATTTCTGGCATCGCCATGCTTGGAAGTACATCATTGGCAAGCATGAGGCAGCATACACTCTTTGCAGGGCTGAATCCATGCGTCGGTGAGTTCTGACGACAAGCAAGGTTGCGTGACCTATGCTAGAGCTTTTTCCCCGGCCAAGCAGCCTTCACGTTGGCCGCTACATTTGAGCAGGCATTTTAGTAGGTGGTTCTACTACCTTGCCCGTTTGGCAATATAGTGAGGCGTATATACGTTATAGCCAGGTTGGTAGAGCCGAATGTCAATGGGCTTGCTCGAAGTGTGTCCTTTTTCGAGGGTGCTTTTTTCCACTCATCTTGGGACTTTTCAACTCCCCGCTGTGAATCTCCCAATACCCCCCCCCATTCAACGAGGCTTGGCTGGGCCGAAGGAGAGGTAGTGGCGGCCCCGGATGGCCGTGGGATGAGATGGGCAGTTTGGATTTGGCTCTGTTTGTTTTTGGAGAAGCCTTTGTTTTTTGCTTTTGTTTTTGGCTCTGTTTGTTTTTGGATTGTCTTTTTCGGGTTAAGCGAAGCCAAAAGGACGCCTTCTCATGTCTCCCATTTTCAGGCACCCATGAGCCCATTCTTGGAAAATTGAAGCCAAAAAGTACGTGGCCTGGACGGCCCATTGAGTCGCAATCAAGCCGAGAAGGTCAGTGTACTGGCCATAAAGAGGTGCGGATATCCGGCCTCTGGATCTTTTCTACATGGTGCAAACAGTGATTGAGCATCATCGATTCTACAAAGGGGACAAGGAACTCTCTTCGACTGCTGCCCCGGGGGGTTTTCTTGGGGGCCTAGCACCGTGAAGCGTGTCAGGGTGGGGCAATCCAAACAGCCAGACAACCGGACAACCAGACCCTGATTCTCCTCGTTTTTTCTTGGGAAGCCAATTTGGAGACTTTTTCGCAAAGCAGCTGGAGTCTCCTTCTGACCCTTAAAACATGGTAGGTCCTTACCCAAAATGGTTGGTCATGGCCCCATTTTTTCGTGGCGAGTCCTTTCAGCCGCGGTTTCAGCCGCGGCTTCCTCGGGTTTTCTGAAGCCAAGCTGAGTCGAGTCGCATAGGCAGGGCAGCTGGCCCTCTGGAGCCCACCGCAGATTGCGGTGATGACGCTGGAGCGAGGGCGGAAAGGGTTCCACTGGGTTGGACTCCCGTGTCCGTTGCAAGCAATTCCCAGATCATATTTTTGTACATGATATGCTATATATATATATATATATATGGTACCCCCCCCCCCCAAATGTCGACCTTTTTATGTCTTCACTTGTTCTGCCCACTACATCTGACTCTGCTAAAAGGAAAAATACTCTCCAACTCAACCATTTGAACCGTTTAAGCCTTCAGAGGAAAGGTCTGGGCCCAACACCGTTTAAGCCGTTTCAACCGTTTAACCCCTCTCTCAGGGGAAAGGTCCGGCCCACAACCATTTAAACCGTTTAAACGTTTCAATCGTGTACACCCTCAGGTAGATCCCTGCGGGGGGGAGGGGAAAGGGTTTCAAGGGTTGAAAGGGTTCTGAAAATCTGACCAAACCTGACCAAACCTGACCTGACCAAATCTTTTTGCATCTGGCCAAACCTCAGCTTAGAGATAGGACAGATCTAAGCCGACAGCAGATCCTGAAGCCCAAAAAGGGCACACCTTTCAACTACCTGTGAATCCTGGAAAGGTAATTTAGAAAGGATCGCCTTTTTCAAAGACCTCTTTTCATTTCAACTTAGATTCTTCTTTTGAAGTAAGGACATCATCCTATTGGATTTCTAGTTTAATGATAGTGTAAGTAGGTTTCCTTTCCAAATGATATAGTGATTAAACGTCTAACCTATTTGACATTTCACTTAGAGCTGTTTTGCATTTTTGTTTGTTGATGAAATGTTACATGGAATTAATAAGGACATAATTCTAGAAGAGCATCTAGTTTTATCATGTAGATAGGCGCGTTTTAAAATAATGTTTTTGCAGTAGTATTTCAAATTACATTCTAAAGGGGGTCTCTCTCTCTCTCCTTTCTAGTTTTATTATTATTATTAGCAGAACATTGAAGGGGAATTTGATAAGGACATACTCCTAGTATAATTTATAATTTTGATGGAATCTAAACATGTTTTTTCTTCAAACACTATTTGTCACTAAATGTCTTATTTGACGTTTTCTATTTTTACTGATTGAAGTAATATAGTTACAAATCATAAGGCCTAGTAGAGTTTCTATTTCAACAAACATGTTATATATGCTTTTGTTTAAATCATATGTGTAGTTGGAATGCCTACTTCAAATTCGCTTTTAAAGGGGATATCATTTTCTAGGTCTGAGTTGCTCAATGTTCTAATTGAAATCCAAATAGAAATTAGCAGTGACACATCCTAATATATTTTCTAGTTTTAAAGATGATGCAAGAACATATTTCCTTTTGGAAGAACATGCTTAATTGTGACTCCTGCTTCAAGTTAGATTTTAAAGCGAACTTCGTGTTCCAGGATGTTTTTCCATTTTCTAGATAAACTTTGAAATAGATGTTGATAAGGCAACATTTTGCTGTTGCTTTCCCCAAAGCACAAACAGAAGCAGTAAACACCGCAAATACCATCGAACCCCCGCAACATGGTAGACATTTGGGGGCGTGGTAGCATATATGCATATATATATATATATGTACATACACATATATGTACTATACATATGTATATAGGTATGTAGATATAAGATTTCGTATGTGCATTACACCTTGCAATACACCCCACATAAGAACCATTATAATACACGTTTCATTGGGATTTGCACATTGCATGGCACTTTAGATGACACTTTTCATCAAAGTTTACATCACATTTTACAGTACACGTTATATTGTACTCATTCAAATGCACATGCCCTTTCAATCTAACTACACATCCAACTGCACCCTATATAGTGCTTCACATTTCATTTGGCCGTATGCTCATTGCAATGACTATTGCATTGTACACATTGTATGAGCCAAACCAGTACTCAGTACATCTCACTTTACAGTATTCTGCATTTCAATATACGGTGCAATGCGCATTGCATTGCGCATTGCACTACACAGTACACAACACACGGCAGTACACAACACACTCCTCTGAAAGCGCAGCTTTTGGGACCTGGTTTCTTAATCGTGGTCCGCATTTGACCATGCAGTATTGAGAATGCTGAAGGAGCACATGAAATCAAACATGCGCTTCCACACCTTGCATACTGTGGATGGTTGAAATCCTGCACCTAAGAAGCCCTGGCATGATGATACCCCTGCAAATACCCACAAACAGTGGGCTCTCTTGGTTTCTGAGGTGGTGCGAAATGGATTTCGTCCACAGCAGGTTTCCACAAACGCATATGTATCACAGTGCAAAGTGAAGGTTTTGTAACGTCCGCCGGTGCCAAGTTTCCAAGTTTCCCAAGTTGGCCAAGCAATCGTGCGCTGAGGGCAGTCAGGTTGAGGCGACCGTGCAAAACAAAACCGGCGCTTTTCTATGATGCCCGTGCAAACGTTTTTTGTTCATACTGTGGATGGTTGCGAAATCCATTTCGCACCACTTGGAGAACCATGGCTGAAACCATTGCTTGTTGTTATGTAGAGGCGAATCATCATTCCGGGGTTTCTTCGGTGGTGCATCACAAGGCGGTACTTTCGCTGTGAAATCTTTGTTTGATGCGCTGGCAGGAGTCTGCCGACAGCACGGTCGAGACCTTAGCGATGACTCATCCAGGATATGCATAGACGACAGATGCTGCATTGTCAGAACAAGGCCGAAGCAGTTGTCTCCCCGCCTTCGCCGTTTCTTTTTTGGCCCAAGTTTTTGGCAGTGGCCGAGCTACTTCCTGGCAATGACGACCTGGGTTCACTTGGCTGCTGAGCACCAAGAAAATGCCAAGGTCAAACTGACATGTTCTGTGATTCCGCGGAAGGGCGACTGGCTGGTGAGGCCATAGTGTCAGTCTCCTTGTTGCAGTGCTGGCAGTGTCTGAGTTGCATCAATACTGTGGATGGACCAAATCCTGCACCACCCCTAAGAAACCCTGGAACGATGATCCCCCTGTAAATACCAACAAGCAATGGTTTCCCATGGTTTTCAAGTGGTGCAGGATTTCGTCCATCCACACTACGTCTTGCTCCATGACCATCCTCCCTGTGCCTTAGAGTGGGTGATGCAGAGTGTGCAGGGGATCAGGGACGAAACCGTGTTAATGCATGCTGCGTGCCACGCAAAGCAGACAACCTGCAAGCCCAAGCTCAGGGTGTGCAGAAGTATTATCTCAACAACTTTGTCAGAGAAAAAAACCTAAATGTGAGAACATGAAGCTAAAGGTCACACTTTGGAAACTTTTGTCAAACGAACAGGAGACGTGCAATTTTCTCATAGGGTTCCGCAGCGAATCCGCGCAGGCTGCTGGAGAAGTGCCCAGGGCCAAAGGCGATGGCGCGATCGCTACCTGACGTCCAGGAGGGTGAAGTCTGTCTGGATCAGAGCTTCGGAAGGCAAACACAACCGCTGAAGGGCCCCGGGTTGCCTGGTGAGCCGCTGACAGGGCTTGGTTGCTGGTGGTTGCCCGGTTTGTGGGGGGGCTGTTATGACATTCAGTTTGAACCACGCGGCAAGGAAGGGACGGCTGGTCGAGTATCCTGCCGGTGCCTGGCGAGTTGCAGTGCCAAGCAGCCGCATTGACTGCCCCAAGACTCTCACGAAGGTAGAGGAGGGGCTGCGACATTCGTCTTGCTGGAAGGATGAAAGGTGGCTATGGCTCAAAAACATGTACCAAAATGGTACCTTGGTAAGTAAATGGAGCCAAAGACTAAAACCTGCGTAACCCTGGCTCTTTAATTTTGAGCCATACCCAGGTGCTTAAGGGTACACATGAATTGCATGTTTCGGGAGCCATGATTCAATCAAGGCTGGCATATCAGCGTTGCTCGCGTAGTCCAGGCTGTTTGGGGTGTGTCAACATAAGGAAGCCCAAATTAGGGGTTTCCTATTTATCTCCCTTGAAAATAACGTGAACAAATGGTGCCCTCAAGAAGCGCAAGCTCTCTTTGTTTGCAGGCCACAGCAGAACGTTCCGTCGAAGGAGCAGCCCGCACGACCGTATGGATCGAGAAGGAGCTGAAGATGAAGCTGGGGCGCAAGAAGCTGCCGGGGCTGCCTCTGTCTATCTCTCTCCAGCTCTCTCTCGCTCTCTCTCTCTCTCTCATTCTCGCTCTCTCTCCCGCTCTCTCTGTCACTCTCTCTCTCTCTCTCTCTCTCTCTCTCTCTCTCTCTCTCTCTGTAACGCCACTGCTCATGTCAAATGTGCCATGGTCGTGGATTCGTGCGGCTGGAGCCAGCGCCGTTAGGTTGAGAGTATCTCTCGTTGGTGTTCATGCGTTCCTCGATCTTGAACAGTTCGACGTTGGCTGGCTTAGGAGTCCCACCCGAAACAATTACGCACCAAGGCTTCACGCTCGCAGCAGTCTGTTTCTAACCTGCCCATCAGATTGGTTGCCCAAAGAAGCGGGTCTGATTTGGCACGGATCTTCCCGGGAGACGTCCCGAGAACGTACCTGCTCAAGGTGATAAGCTGTCGCTGGCCGAATTTCCGTGTGTGATGTGGCCGGCTGTTGGCTTTGATCCAGTTTAGCCGGACATGAAGCCACATTGACCTGAGCGCTCACGAGCGTCGCCTCATGGCAACGGCTTGAACGTTCGCCCAACTCAAAAACCAGGTCACCCGTTTGCTCTTCTCCCTGGTTTGAGCCCAGGAGTGGGCGTCGTTTTCCAGTCTTCCCCACCTTTCGCCCACAAACTCGCGCGCGCGCGTGTGCTTGGAACCGAATTTTGCTTCAGACATATTGCCGTCAAGCCGCGTGTCACTTTGGCTCAAGTGCCGCGCACATGGTGGGCTCCCGACCCAGGTGGAGATGCTGGAGCCCCCACCGGCAGAGAATGTGGACCGTTTGACAAACCGGGGCCTCATCTCTCTTTTTCCCCCTCGACACCGACCCTTGTCTTCGCGGCTCAAATCTTTGCTTCGCTTCTCTTCCAGCATGGCCAGCTTGCAACCAAGTCTGGCTGGGCCGCCTGTTCTTTGCCGATCAACTCCCAACTCCCTGACAGGCGGCTCCGGCGATTCTCCCGCGACCACTTCAAGGAAGTGGGACGCGTCAGCCGCGCGAGCCAGGTAAACTGTCGGACAGAGGGGCCGGGCGTAAGGGAGCTGAGAGTGTTGCTGGACTTCACGCAGGCAATGACAAGTCCGACTCCTTTGCGACAGGAAACAGGCCCCCGTGCCCTGCTTTACAGGACGCAGCAAGGCTCCACCAAAAAAACTGTTTTCTTTCCTCAACTCGCGAGCTGGGCACGCCAGCCCTCCAGCTGATCCTTTGCAGGCCATCTCCTTCCGCTCGCGATCCAGCTCCTTTCAAGGGAGCCCCCTTCAGGATCGGGGTCGCGGCCTCATACAACACGCGCGCATGCTTTTGTGTGGGCTCCCGCGTGTCACGGCAAACTTGGCTCAAGAAAAGGGAGCGCTGCGGGCCAGACCTTATGCAGTTACTTTTCACCTCCGTTCGTAGCAAGTCAGCGGAGCCTAAACGAGGTTCAATGAACGGGTTCCAGCTTGCGGCGCAGGACAATGCGTGTGACATGCTAGATCCCATTTGGTTGTGCGCCTCTGTGTGTCTGTGTGTCTCTGTGTGTGTGTGTGTGTGGGTGCGTGCGTGCGTGCGTGTGCGTGCGTGCGCGTGCGTGCGCGTGCGTGCGTGCGTCTGTGCGTGCATGGGTGTGTGTGTGTGTGTGCTTCTTGGAGGGTACCCTTTTCAGGTTCCATTTCACGGACATCTACCCGTTTTACAGGCCACCCAAACAAAGAACAGGGCACCGTGTTTCTCAGGAACGGAGATTCTTTAAATTGCACGGATGAGTTGGCGAAGCTGCTTCGGACACTCAGCGCAACCAGCTACTTGAAGTTGGGCCGGGTTATTTCTTTCTTTTTGCCATCCTTCCTTTCTTTGACGTGGGTGCATGTAGCAGAACAAGGATCAAACAACAAGGCAACCAAGCCGAGCATTTGTTGGCTGATGTCCACCCGAAGGACCCAACCACTTAAGACCACATGTTTTTTTTTGTTTGTGGGCACCCCTTTTTGGCTCAGAGGGAGAGAGGGACACCAATCAGTCCTTATTGGGTATGTGTCAAACATTTTGGTTTGCCTGTCGGCCTCTCCCAAACCACCCGGTTTGATTTGACGCACATCCGAGGCTGGGCCCGGGCCAAGCTTTGGACCGGGCCGTGGGGCTGACAGGGGCCAAGCCGCGGAACGAGGCCTTCCTGAAAGAGCAGGACGCGTGTTGCCGGAGCAAAGTTGCAGCCCGTTCCGTGCGTAAGCCGCAGGGTCTGGAGCTTTGGATTCGTCTTGGCGCAGAAGGACAAACTCCGCTTAATTACCAGTTGGCAGGTTGTTTGTCCCAACAGGGTTTCATCCATCACAACTGGTGCAGGAATTTGTCCTTCCACAGTAGCTCATGCGAGCTTCCATGATGCCCGTTCTTGAGACCTTGAAACTGATCAAGTCATGGGGATGGTCCACTTCGGCACAGAAAGGGCCATTTTCCACAACCATGTCTTAGGAACCTCATGCAGTCCAACGAAGGAGGCACTGCAGAGGGAGGCAAAGAAGCCCAGGTTGAAGTACATCTCCTGAAGCCTGACTGACTTCTGACTTCGACTGCTCACTTGAACCTGAAATTCCAGAAACATGGCCTGAACTGCCATGTCAAAGGTGCAGTTGTCATTGTTGAATTAGTTGGCGCATTTGTCGTGCGCGCGTCAAGTGTCGTATGCTTTCTCGCACCGGTCGCTGGGAAGCAGCGCCGGGCTTGTACAAAGCGATCGCCCTGAGATCTTCCGGGGTCCAGCTGCGTCTTTTCAGGCAGCGACTTCGAGGGCTGTCTTGTCATTTGAGATAAATGGGATGCGGTGACGCGTGACGCGTGAGCGAGGTATACTGCGGATGGACGCAATCCTGCACCGCCTAAGAAACCCTGGAACGATGATTCCCCGTAAATACCAACAAACAATGGCTTGTCGTGGAAATGGATTTCGTCCATCCGCAGTATGACCGTAGCCTTGCAAGCCGACTTGGAGACAGGTCACCGTGCGGCAGACGTTGATGGTGCCGCTGAGAGGCCTGGTGCAAATATATTTTGTGAAGCAGGTGGCTGCGGGCATCAAGGGAAGGCAATCTCCACTTCAAACTAAGTTTGTTTTGATTGCTTGGAGGTCTTCGTGATTGTGTGTGTGTGTCATTGGTGCGTTTGGCTTGCTACTTTCAGTGGACATGTTTTTGGAGGAGACGCCGTCTTGCAGATGGCTCTCTGCGATGAATGCCTGGTCGCCCTTACGACCCGCGAGGCACCGAGTTTTTTTTTTTCTTCTCCAGATGTTTCTTGCGGGATGTAAGGGCCCACAGTCAAGGAAGATACTTTTCACAAAGCACCAGGGCTAAGGAATGCCTGGCATACGATTTGTGGGACCATCCCCAAAGAGCTGGTAGGGTTCAGCAAACCTACCGAAGAGTGTGCAATCGTGGTGTGCAATTCACTGTCGCAACTCGGCGCGGCTCGAATAGCTGAGATGCTGAGCCCCATGGGGACTTGGAGCTGTGAAGCTGATGAATGAACAAAGGGTGTACTCGACAAGGGCAACATCACTGGACTTGCATCCGAGTGAGGTGGGCAATGTCTTTCCTTAGCTCTCTTCTGGATTGGCCAAGGAACACACAAAGAGAGCTGTTGGCGTGTGGGTCCGACGTCAGATCTGCTCCGAAAAGGTGAAACGTGTACCTCAAATGACACGCACCTAATTATTGTGAACCTCTTTCCAAATGATAGGAGGCGCTAAGCTGTCGCTGCCAGGTTCTGGTGTGGCTTTTGGAGGGGGAGCACGCTCCGTCTGCCCTGCCGCGCTTGGGGCATACGAAGTTTGAGGCTTTTAAATCTCTTGGAACACATCTACTTCCCACTCACCAACAAAAGTTCAACTCTTTGCAGGGGTCTAAGCCTAAACCAAACAAGATATTATTCAAGGAGGTTGCTCGCATCTCTTTATACATACCCAGTTGGAGATGATTTGTTTGTACCTTTCTGGATGAAATCGTCCAAGCCTCCGGTCACTGTGGACAATTGCCCACTTACTGTGATACCAAGGGAATCCCCTTGAAAGTGACAGAGAAGCCATCGCATGGCCGTTGCTCCAGGCTGCGGCATTGTCAGCTGCTAGCCACACGTCAGCAAGGCAGGGAAAAGAGCAGGAAATGACTGAAGTGGCCCCTTCTGAACGTGAGAGACTTTGGCCTTGACTTGCTGGCTTTTAGGGAGGCAACAAGGAGTTTGGGAGTGAGCTGGTTTCGGGATTCCCTTGAAAGGAAGCCATCACTGTCTCATTCCCCGCCTATGGGACCAGCAAGTAAGCCACAATCAAAACCCAGGTAGACGAAGGTTAGCAAGGGACGATCCCAACCATAGATAGCTGCGGCCGCCTCTCAATCCTGTACATGGTTCTGGGACGACCATTTTAGTACCGATCGGTTTTGATTGCGACTCATGAGCCGTAGGCAGACCCTTGCACGCATCACCTCGAGGCGCAGAGAAGGACTCGGCCACGTCCCACGCATACCTCGGGGGTCCTGTGAGTCAAAGCGGCCGGGTCCTCAGTCCCGTGGACATCACAGACCCGGAAATGCAGCGACCTCGGATTCTGGAAGAGCGACTCAGGGGTGTGTTTGTTTTTTTTTTTTTCTCCCTGGAGAATGAATCTCATTTTAGAAGGGGGATTGCTCTTGGCCCGGTCCAGATCAATCAGAAATGAGCAGGGAGCATGCGGCTTTGCACGCGGTCGGGTTGCTGTTCCTGCAGGGCGCGCCGTGGCGTACAATTCAGCAGTGCTCGCCTCAGAGGAAACGGCCCTTACGTGTGCAGTGCACATTCTTTTGCCTGGGTTGGCACGGTCACGACATTCGGAGAGCCAGGAGCCATGGCATTCGCTCGCCGGCGGTTTTTGGCCGCTTCGTTTTTCCCCCGATGAGGGATGCGAAGCCATCAACACGCCGGAAGACCTCTTGACTCTCAGGACGCTGATGCCCACTTCACGGAGGGCAGCCTATCATTGCTTCGCTGCGCAGGTGCCTTGAAATGGCAACACGAACCGAAACAATGAGCCATGGAAAGCTTTTGAGAACCCGCCAACATACCTTTCTTCGCTCTTTTTTTGTGTGTGTTTTTGGTCCTGTTCATTTTTAGTAGGGCTGCAAAACGCGGCTGGTTGTTTTCTACCATACCAACGGTTGGAAAGCTTTTGAGCTCTCAGAACCCATATGGGCGTGTCTTTTTGTCGGGGACACACCCAGAATGGTTTTGTTCCTTTTGGGTTCTCTTTCAAACCAGCCAACAAGGGATACCAAAGAAGAAGAGACAGAAAAAACGAGCTCACTGTGGCAGTTGACTTGGGGATCCAATTCTTAGTTGTGTGTGTGTCTTTTTAAAGGTTGGACCCCTCTAACATGGCGCAGCGGCTTTCCTTTTGGTTCCCTTTAAAATCCCCAAAAAGGGGGGGGGGGTAAGCTCACCAAAATCCGAGGTAAGCTCAAAAAAAGGACACCCCCCCATTTCAGGTTCGGGAATTCTTGTTGCAGAAGTCAGATGGCTGTGGGTCAAAACCCATGGGATCCCATTTTTGGGGGGTTTTTGGTGCATTGGGGATTGGGAGGTTCACTGGGCGCACGTGATTTTGACCCAGGGCCAGATTTCCGGTGCGCCAGGTGGCGCTTTGCTGCTCCTGGTGGCGGCCTGCTCAGCGGAGGTCGTGGCGCCGGCGTCTGCTCTGCTCTGCCGGGATGCCTTGAGGGACCCAAGTCCGCAGGTCCATGGGACCCCCAACATGGATTTCGGTCTTTTGGTTTCTCTTGGCCAACCAACAGGGGTTCCTTTCCCTTTCCGCCCAAACCTGGACCCAACTAGCACCCGTGAAACCCAACTAGCACCAGCACTCAGCTTGAATGGGATGCTTGGAATCCCGTTTCAAGCTGCGTGACACGCAGTCGGAGGTCGTGGCAGCATCGACCGCTGGGAAGCGGTGGATCTTCGCGCGGAGGTGCGCAGACGCACAGACGCGATGGTCTCCCCGAGGTTCTCCGTGAGGAGAAAAGATGTGGCCGTGGTTGTCAAAACCGTTTCGGGATCCCATTTTGGGGGTGTTCGGTGCACCACCCATTTTAGAACCTATTTTAGTGGTTGGATTGGGATGTTCGCTGGGGGTACGGGATTTATCTCTATATATTTACATGTATATATATATATATATACATATGTGTGTGTGTGTGTCAGACAGAATCGGGAGATTTGTACCCACCAGATTGACTGGTTCCTTGAACTAAGGCCCTTTGGGCGATGCCAAACTCCGCAGGCGTTGCCCCTGGAGCCCGCGGCGTGCGCCTGGTGTGGCGACGGAGCAGTGCTGCACGCCGGGGATCCTATTGGATGGTGGATTTCGCCGCTTCCCCCGGAAGCTTCTTCTGGTTCTTCCTTAGTACTCTTTGAGATCCTAGAGGTGGGCGGATCCACAAACATCGCATCCAAACCCTGTCCTGGAGGAATGGTGGTGGAAGGTTGAAAAGTTGGGATCACCAAGGCTCGGTGGCTGGTCACCCATCCGGTTCCTGAGTCTTTGTGTTTAGAGCTTCTTCGTTGGTTTAGTGGCTGGGTGTCCATTTCCCCCACCCAAAGTTGACTAGCCTTGTAGCAGGGGATCTGAGAACGGAAAGCCCATGATGGAAAGTTGGGGATGGATACCTAGGGCATGGTGGCGGAAAGTTCGGGTTGCCACTTTCTGTTTGGGGATTCGTATACGGCCCACTTTGGCATCACAGAAAGGCTGACTTCCAATGGGAACACCTTGAAGGGCCAATTCATATGCAAGTGTACCACTCTGGTTTTACCCTGATGGTTATACAGTTCAGAGCCATTAGGGGTACCGGGGTAGATGGCAAAGCTGCTGCACTTAGTTGAACTGGAGCATTTCTTTGCGGGTCACCTTTTCATCTCGGTTCAAAGAAAAAGCGCAAAACCCAGATTTGGCCAGAAGCCAGTTTCAGGTAGGGGGCATAGATGCGACCCAGTGTAGCTTCACGGAAGCCAGAGCTGGATTCTACGAGCCTTCTCATGTCCAGGCGCGTTGTTTTCTCATCGCACCTAGCTTGTTCAGAACCTAAGTCCCAATGAGTAGCGGATTAGGCGGATTATGCGGATTATGCGGCTTACTGAATAGATTGTGTGGTTTTTGCGGATTGCGGATTGTGGGTTGCAGAGATTTCCCATGCTCCAACATACGGTGTTGACCCAGAAGAAGATTCCCAACCAGAACAAGGATCAAGCGGATTACGGATTGTGATTAGGCCTTGATTTCGAACCGGGCGAGTCTCACAAGTTGGTTTTCCCCTTGATCTTGGTTCCCAGACATCTTGTTCCTTAGCTGTTTAGGTTTTTTTTTGTGCTTCTTCAACCCACCAAAAGTTCGTCGCTTTGTGCGGATCTGCAAACTTTTGACCGCCCCATGTCCCATGTTCCGCGTCTCGTTTGAGGTGGGCTTGTGCGGCTCGCCGGCCGGGCCCCGCAGGCGCTTCAGCGCGCGCTCGCTCGCTCGGAGGTCGCGTGGAGGTCAAAACGCCCGGCCTCGGCCTCGCCGCAGGCCGGTCTTGGTGGTCACTGCACTTCCAGCCCGAGGCACGAGGGAGCGCGCCTTTGGGCGTGGGTTGGAAGAGTTCTGCCCCTTTTGGCAGGGTTTTACCGGAAAAACAATCGGGACAGCCCAGATGGGTATGGGTCAAAACTAAACCAGAGCACAGCAGGTTTCTTAGTCCATGCTTCCATTTTCCAGAGTTCCATGTTGGGTACCTATGTTTGAACCACAGCCAGATGTTGTGGATCTGAAAACGGGGCACCAGTTGAAGACGGAGATTCCCGGTTGAAACCAACTTGGTGGCAAGGCGCATGGGGTAAGCAGACTGCTAGTTGTGGCCGAAAAAGGAACAAAACAAAGCAAACGCTGGTTGTCTCTTGGGGGAACCGCAAAATTGGAGGTTGCCGTTTGGCTTTTGGTTGAAATCATCCCACGGTTACCCTTCCAAAGGACGTTGGCATGGAGCAGGATACTTGCAAGCTGCGTCGCCATGCCCGGCCTGAGCCTCAGCATGTTACGCATCTGGCTGCGTCTCAAAGAGGGGGGATCACATCTAGATATTCCTTTCTCGAAGCGCTTGATATTTTAGACGAGCATGTGTTTGGGGACCCTGACGAGTTCTAACGGGTTCCCTTGCACCTAAGAATCATGTGCAGTCGCATCCCACCCATTTCTCACCGCTTTCCACCGCGATGACTGTCTTGGCAGAAATGCGGTGCTTGTTTCACCAAAGTTGGTTGCTGAAGACGGGGAAAGAAAGACAAACAAAATCAACAAATCCACCCAGGGCCGCGCCCAAAACAAAAATCGCCCGGTGCATTCGACTCAAGGCCTACCATCCCGAGACGCTGATTTGGCTTCTGCGCCGCGGCCAGGCGGCGCACGAGAGATGGACACCGGGAGGCCAACCTCCCAAGGCGAAAAGAACCAATGCCCGACCAACACTCGAGGACCCAAACCCAGCGCCAATGCCTGAAAAGCGATAACATATCAATAGCCGAAGAAAAGGCATACACCAAAAGACAAGTGGTGCAACATAGGCCCCAAGTGTCCACCACTCCCTCCCCGTTGTTGGCCTTCGGAAGGTGGCGCTGGCACGGCGCATTCTGCAGCAGCTGCTGCAAGTGCCCGTGATCAAAGTCAGGTGGGCCTTTTCTTTTAGCTTCCCTTAAAAGGGCACCCTCAAGAAAATCACAAACCCTTGTACCATGTTGAACCGTTGAGAGACAACCACGGCGAGGACCTTGTGACTTTGCGCCTCGTGCATGCCACTTCTTTGCTTTCGGCTCAAGTCCACGAGACTCTAAGCCCAGGCCTTTGTCTCACCGTGAGCACACGACTCCTGTCAGAAGGCCAGAGAGGTCGAGCTGTCGAGTGGGAGGTTCGCTGAGGTGCCAACTGCCTGGCGAAAAACATCACGCCACGTCCCTCTTATCTCCTTTTGAGGAGGGCCCCCATGTTGGGCTCGGGGTTAGTTACGACTGTTGTTTTCCATGCAGGCTGCATCAGAGACATACTGTGGATGGTTGCGGAATCCAGAAATCGCTTCACCTAACAAACCCTGGAATGATGATTCCCCAGCGTATACAAAGACCAACAAACGTCATGGTTCAACCATGGTTTCAACGTGGTGCAGGATTTCGTCCATCCAGGCTGCATCAGCGACATGGCCGTCAGGCTCATGTGTGATGCTCGTGCTGCTGAGCATCCTCCTAGCAGCTGATGCCCTGAACGCAGGCCAGGAGGTCCTGAAAAAATCTGTGTGGCTCTTTGGGGAGCTACAAGGGGAAACATCCAGATTTTTTGGGGGTCCGCCAGTTTTTGACACGACTCCCGTGTCGGCTGAGCTCTTTTTTTCGGACGAGCAAGTCTGTGCAGGAAACACCAGCGAGTCCGTGGTGAGGCGAGCAGAACCTCATGCGGCAAGCTCCATGGCCTGAGAATCTCATGTCAGCCCCACCGTGGATGGACGAAATCCATGCAACGCACCACCTAAGAAACCCTGGAATGATGACTTCTTATACCAACAAACAATGGTTTCCCATGGTTTCCCAGTGGTGCAGGATTTCGTCCATCCCGGGTAATTCTAGGTAGGGAGTTCTACTACTTCTTTTGTGGGGATTGTATGCAGGCCAAGAGAAGCCTTGCCAGCCATGTTGACAACCAGAAGTCAAGCAGATTTTGGGCGCTGCTCAAGTGCGTGGCCGCATCTTGATACCGATCAGATGTGGAGCAAGTATGTGTGGCATGTACCAAGCAGAGCCGAGGAGTGCTGAGCGCTGCTGTCCTGTCACAGGGAGCTTTGACGTGTCCGATTTGTGCAATGGCACTGTGCATGACCTTGTTCTTGTCCGGTTTGGATTAGCAGCTTGGACATGTTCGAGTCTCTCAATTTAAGAGCGACACGAAGACGGCAAGCCAACCATACTGCATGCGTTTCGGCGGTGCGCTGAAAGCAGGAGCAATCCAGCTCGACGCATCCAATGAAGGCGAGAGATGGCTGACAATGGCATGTGTGAAAATAGCTCAAAACTATGTTTAGCTGTTGGCTTCTCTTGAAACCCACCTGAACAACCCTCAAGACAGCACAAATGCACAAAGCGACGGGAGTCGCAGGGTGATGCAATGGCCTGCCTTCGATCAGGCTTGGCCAAGGGACGTGTGGAGAAGCTTGGGGCAGCGAGCCAAGTCGGATGTTGCTTGCAGGTTTGCGTTTGAACACATGGACAAGTATTGCACTCTTGTTATCCAGGGCAACACAGGGATACTTCGTATCAGTCAGAGTGCCCAGACCATGGTCCATGCGTACAAAGGCACTTTTGGACTTTTGCCCACTAGTTTATGGGGACTCAACAAGTTTCATGCTAACACCAGAGCGTACGAACCCCTCCCCCCACCCCCACGCTCTTTTCCCACGCTTTTGGACTTCAGCGAGCCGAAATTAAGTTGGCCCAGGACGCGACCGGGGCACGACTGGATTCTGGATATGCTGGGGTTGTCTCAAATTTTGGAGGTCCCCTGTGCCCTAGGTTTCCAAAAGAAGGGCCTTGACCGGACCCAACTCAGATGACAATCCTGAAGGGTAAACAACGGGTGGTGCAATATGAACCCAACCATTGTTTCAATGGCAACTGAACCCCAGCGTTTGGTTGCTTGCCTTTCTCTGCTTTCCGACCAAACCAGGGGCTTCGCTCCATATGGGCTTTTGTTAGGTGACTGACCCTGCCTTCATCAAGAGCGCCGGCAAGTGGAAGGCGAGCGAAGCGGCACCATCCGTTACAAGACTCGACCAAACTCATTGCCCTATTTTCGACCAACACCCCTGACATTTTTGGCCCCAATCCTCCTGTTTCCCTCGCACAACAAGAGCTCGCGGCAGGTGCACTACAGCGGATGGCCGACGCATCACGAGCCGCGCCGCAAGTACCCGGTTTCATTTGCGTTTCGGGATTGGACACCGTGAAAAGGAAATTGGAAGGGGACTCAGAAGCTGCAGCTTTCCATATGGGTGTGTTTTTTAAGGTTGGAACCGCAAATTGGCTTCGGTGGTCCTTTTGGTTTCCCCTTCAAAACCAGAAAACTGGGCACCCTCTAAATGGACACATATATCTTTGGGCTTTGAAAAGGAACCACATAGCTTTGAAAAGAAACCACATGGAGCCGCAAATTCTTTATGTGTGTTGCCCATCATTTTCGCGTGAGGTGAGTCGTGCGAAAGTTTCTCGCCTCGCGTTTTCGCCGCAGGTTGATGGAGGTGGAGATCTACTGCAACGGGAAATTCAGGCACGCGCCAAATTTGGCGCGAAGCGAACACGGGTGGGTTTGAGCTTTTGTGGTGGGTTTCAGCTTTTGTTGAGAGTACCCTTTTCAGGTCGGAAAAACTAGTTGCGCCAGTTTTTTGGGTGAAGAGTGCCACGAGTCGCGAAGAAACGAGCCAGGATTTGGAATGGGCATATGCACCAGATGGTCACCTCGGGCTCTGAGATGCAGGCTCTTTGGTGTTTTACGTTAGTTGACACTTGCATGCCTTCTCTTGACCTATCTTTTCTTTTTGTGTGTGTGTGTGTTTTTGAGGGTTCTCCTTTCGTCTTGGTGTAGAGGCAAGCCAGAAGGAAAACCAATGCCATGTTTGGAGGTGCCCCTTCGACCCGCCTTTCCGGCGGTGCATTCGGATTTTGATCCGCCTGGCGAGGCGCTCTGCAAAGGCAAGATGAAGAGTCGTGTCCAGTGGCTGACCAAACCTTGGGCGGGGCGACTCGGCAAAATCTTCGTCTTCCGGTTCCTTAGCTTTTTGGCTTTTATGTGTGGACCCTGTAATGCACGTCCATGGTGCGGATTCTGTTTTTGCGTGTCGGTTTGAGTGGGTGGTGCACCATGGAAGTAGCTGGCTTTCGTACTCTGGAATCTGCGGTGACGTGCTCGGTGACATGCGGCGACACAAATTTGCTTCACAGGAATACGGAGAAGTGGGAGTGCGGATGGCTTGGGGCCGAGCGTCCGTATGAGTTGCTTGAGAACACGATGCGCGTGCCGCGTTTTCTTTCTTCTTCTTGTCCGGATTGACATTGGCAGGTACGATGAGAAGGAAGACAAGATAGATATGTACAATTATTGGAAAGGCGCAGTGGGAGTAGTTTGGCACGTGTAAAAAGCTCCCCCCTTCCGAGGTCATGGCAACACTGGGGAGGGCCACAGTCTTGAAGACGGGTATTGGGGAAGCTCGGCGAGATCATTCTGAAGAGGTGGGCATCAACTGTTCTGGAAACCAATCCTCTACCCCGAGAGGGGGCTCATGTCGGGAGGATGTTCACCCAAACGGCTCTGCATGGTAGTGGGGAAACCGCCTCAAAAGTGTCCCCACCAAACATGATGCGCACACGAAACGGTCCATTGGAATTGATATCCATGTTCGAAGGTTGACTCCTTTGCCATATCCAAGGAAAGGTGGACCGAGCAGAGCGCGTCTCTTTTGTGAGACCTTGATGCAATCAGATGGCCATCATTTTTGGGTCCCGACAGCGCGAGGGGAGACGCAGCGCCATGTTTTTGTCACTTCCACAGGGTCAAAGAGTACAATCGGGCGAGCAACATGAAGGATCTGTAAGTTGGCCTTAGCCAAGGAACTGCCCCACAGAGAGTTCAGCCACGCAGCTGGCATCGGATGGGGAGAAGGAGGAGGAGAAGTCTGAGGAGAAGTCGGAGGAGAAGTCGGAGGAGAAGTCGGAGAAGTCGAACGCGGTGCACTGCAGTTGGCTGGCGGACCCTTGCCTGCATCCTTCGTATTTGAGCAACGGCCAATCTTCACCATCTACGTGTCGGTGTGGGGATTTCTGTGTTTCGAAGGCTCGGTACTCGTTTTGACACCAAAGGGAAACCGAAGGGAAACCAAAGGGAAATCAAAGGGAAACCAAAGGAAAGCCAAAGGGAAGAAACCAAACGTAAACCAAAGGGAAACCAAAGTGAAACCAGAGGGAAAAACCGCCAATTTTGGGTCCTGGCCCAAATCCCTGCTTTGACACCTGCTCATAGCTCATTTCAGGCTTATCTGCTTGTTTCTCGTTTTCTGAGGCACTCCTTGGTGTGGCTCTCTACCTCTGAATGTTGCGAGTGCAAAAAAAGACAGACATGGGCCCGAGGCGTAGAATGGTGGGCGCTAGCGTGAATTTCCAAAAGTTTTATTATTTTGTTTGGCGCCGGCCTAGCGTGCATTTGCAAAAGAAAAGAGCTTTTGTTGTTTTTTTTGGGTGGGGAAGGGGGAAGGCTTGGCTGCTGCAATTTGAGACCGAAGATGCAGCGGCCATGGCATGTGGCCATGGCATCATTCGCAGGTACTGCGATCCTCTCGGCCATTTGGCATCCCGCCGTTGGTGGCGCCGGGCTCAAGCCGATGCAAATGGCCCAGGGAGCTTGTCACACATGGGTGCTGGACATAGTTTCCTTTCTTGCTGGTGCGATAGGGAATGACCGAGTTTGCGGGTGTTGGGAATGAAGGGTTTCCCTTAAAAGCCACATCGGGGATTGTCTATAGGCGTCATTCCATTTCTCATTCCCGAGAGCCCAGCAAGTTTCAAGGTTTAAAAGCACTCGGGTCCATTTTGAGAAGTCGTCTTTGGGTTTTGCTCGCAAGGCACGTGAAGCATTCACATGTCCGTGTTTACACGACTGGGAGCTCGGGCGCGACGTTTCTGTCGGATCAAGGACATGGACTTCGCGGAGTTTCACTGTGGGGACGCCTTTGACTCCCCGGCTGGTTTAGCTTCGGCATCTGGTGATCATGAGGCTCGGTCAGAGTAATTCTCAGGCTTTTGGTCCATGTAATGAAGGACATGGGGGGGCTGAAGAACCTGACAGAAACCAGGTACTCGCAAAGCTGAACCCGCAGTCTTTCAGGGCAACGTTTTTTTTTTTTTTTTCCACGCCTGCCTTTACAGACTTGGGTGTGTCTTTGCCTCCAAACTGTCTTCGGTTTTCCTTTTGGCTTCACTTGAAAACCACAAACACATACCGGGTACTCAAAAAAGACGCACCCACTCAAACCGTTATTATTATTACTGTTTCCCGAAGCGGGGAGCCTCTGGGTTCAAGTCTCCCTGGAAATCAGGAAGAGGCTGTAGACCCTTTAGGAAGATGATTTGCTTTTGCTTTCCTTAAGCGTCCCAAGAATGTCAAAGTTCCCTATTTTGGGACAAAGCCAAATGGCGGTTCCCGAAATTCATAATGGTGGCCCCTGTTTGCAGCTCCGGTACTTGGACGCTTTGCTAGGTTGAAGACACAGCTCCGCCAGCTCTGCCAGAGCCAGGATGGGCGCACAGAGCGAGCGCGCCGTCCAGCTTTGGCATTCGGCGATGAGTTGATTCGGGGGCATGAATTCCCAGGAGTTTTCTGATGTTTTGAGGTTGGGCACATTTCAAAGGTCGGAATCTGCATTTTTTTTCTGGTAGAGTCGTGGACGTGGTACTCCCGTTTTTGCTCTGAGAGCCCGGCTTGCCGGAGGCAGCGAGGTCTCGCAGACAGCAGATGCGCTCTTTGGGGAGGACGACCTGGAGGCGAAAACTGGGTGCGGCTTTGGGACCTCCTTGTCTGAAAGATGCAAGACTCTACATGATCAAAGTGTTTGTGTGTGTGTGTGCGCGTGCGCGTGCGTGCGTGGGTGCGCATGGGTGGATGCTCTCTCTCTTGCGGGTGCCTTGTTTGTAGGTTGGCTTCAAGGGAAACCAACCGGAAAGTCCCCCCCCCCCCCAACTGAAATCTGGAGGGCCCCCCCCATTTTGACGCATCACAAGAACCCGCCGACTTTTTTTTCACCAAGGCCCGTCTGGCGCAGCTGAGCCGGGGCTGGATGGAGGAGGAGGAGGAGGAGAGCCCCAACAACTCCGAGGCGCGACCGGAAAGCGATGGGAGGGACGATCCTATCCGTCAATGGGCGCCGCCTGGTCAATTCTTTGCGTTCTGGGAGTACGACCATTTGAGCAAACGGGAGCACCTTGGGTATTTCAAGAAAAAACAAGAAAGGAGACCTTGGCAGTCACTACCCAAAGTCCTCCTGGGTTTCCCTTGAAATACCCAAGGTGCTCGCCGAATCTTGCGTTCCGAGGGTGTGGCATGCCCGCCAGGCTCCACAGGCCCAGGATCAGTCGGGCTGGCCGGCGCCTCGAACCGCGAAGCTCGAAGCGAAGCGAAGGTTTCGCGGACTCGGAGAGTTGCATTGGCAGTTGGCCATGCGGTTCCCGAGGTTTTTGGTTTTTTGGGTTGGCTTGGTGGCAGTTCCCAGCTAAAGCCACGAAGCATTTTTGGCTTTTAGATCTGAGGACGACAGCCCAGAGTTGGACTCATGTAGGATGTGGCAGTGAGCTTCTTCTTGCTTTTTTTGGGGGGGTTCTCCGCTTTGTTTGAAGGGAAGCCTGGAAGCTCCCGCCAACAGCCGTCGGTGTTTGAGATGCAGGCAGTTGCCGGAGAGCGACGTCCAAGAGCTCGCGCGGTACCTGCAGACCACCGCCTTGCCCATGGTCTCTTCCCACGAGCAGGCGGTCGTGCGGCTGACACAGAGCTGGTTGCCCTTTGCTTGAGCGGGGTTCTTTGTTGGTTTGCCTTTAATGTCGACCCCGCATGAACAACCCCCTGTTTATTAATATGGGGGTATTCTTGGTTTTAGTGGGGATTTATGACTTTTGGAGGGAGACACCCCCTTATTTAGAAACAGGGGCTGATGAATTTGGGGTCAACAAGAAGCAACCCCCAAAAAGGAGTACCAAAAAAAACAGAGAGTCCGCTGGTTGGCGGTATGGAGCCCATGGAAAGAGTCTTGCGATGAGTTGTGCTCGCATCTCGCTGGCTCGGGAAGCTCAAGCTTGGGAAGACGAATGCCAGAAGCACCAAATCCGGAAGTCGGCAGTTGCTGTCAGGTAACCCTTGGTTGGTGGTTTGGATTTGAACGGGTCCCTGGTTCTTGCGGGTAAATGGGGAAAAAACAACACCCCAGAACACCACCAAACCACCGGGCTCCGAAGCACCCATCAGAGGGATGCTGAGTAGTGGCAGCGCACGTCCACTCTGCTCACCTGAACATAGCGAGTCTACCCGGCGAAAGAAGAGACGGAGTGCACAGCTCATGGTGGCAGCTTCGGGTGTGCTAAAGCGAGGCGAGCGAGGAGCGCATTGCTTTGGTGCGTGATGTCGACAGGCATGCATTTCAGAGTTGGAAGCCACATGCAGGAGCCGAAGCTGATGGATCAAGGCAGCTTTGAAGTTTTAGGTCCAACATCTTCAACGGAGCAGTCTTTTTTGATTTGGGGTTGACATGTGGCCATGGATCTTTACTAGGTTCCACCTCAAAAGGTGTTTGGTGGACAAATTAAACCCCACCGAAGTGCTGTCACCAAAGTTGGGTGTGGCTCAGAATTGAACAGTAGGGGTTGCGCAGGTTTTGGTCCATGTTTCCACTTACCACTGTTTCATTTTGGTACCGTTTTTTTGAGCCCCGGTTCAAAGTCAACATGTCAACGGCTTCCGGAGGTTGTGGCTGGCGGTCCTAGCTGCCGGAACTGCGGTGGCTGCGGCCGGAGGCTCAGGTTTCACGTCTGGACCTGGGCGATGTTCCAGACGAGGTGGCTTTCGGTGATCCAGCCCTGAATCTGAATAGTAAAAGAGTGCAAACATGATTTCTTAAAAAAAAAACCAACAGAAAAAGAACAAATGATTTCCACACACGGCGCGTGCAAGCCGTTTTCTGGATACGTGGGCTGGGTTGGTAAAAAGAATCTGGCGCCCTCTTTGGTCATTTTAGTCACTTTAAAGGATGGACTCAGCTTGCAACGAGGTGCCCGCCCTCCGATGGTATTTGCGCCGACGTCGGCAGCGATCATTCGAATATGGACCAGTGGAGCTTAGCGAGATGACCCTGGCAGCTGCCAAGGAGCCACTAGCCAGATGTGAGCCACGTGCCCAAATCCCGGGTACGGATGTTCCTTTGTCGGTCGCCCCCATTTTTCTGACCCGTGTTTTTCTGACCCGTGTTTTTGTTTTCAGGTCGCAGCAAGGTTCATTGGGCCTCTGGTCCAAAGCCTTGCGTTTTCCGGCGACTTTTGCAATCCTTTCTCAGGTTGTTGGTGCTTTGGATTTGAATTTGAACAGGTCCCTGGTTCTTGTAGAGGTTAAATGGAAAAAAACCACCCCGGCACACCACCAAGCTACCGGGCTCCAAACCACCAATTACACGGAAGCTGACTTTCTGGGTATCCACGGCTTTCGAACACTTGTTTCCCAGATCCCCACTACCCACCCACTTACTCGGTCGACTTCCCGCCTACCCCCTTCACCCACCTACTCCATCACTTCCCCAGGGTCAGTTTGACTTTTTCTGGAGGTCAAAGTCAGTGTCTGGTGTGGTTTCCAGCTAACACCTACCACTGAACAGGGGGTGACTTTGCCACCCACCCCACCCTACCCTACCCTACCCTACCCTGCCCTGCCCTACCCTAAACCTACCCTACCCTACCCTGCCCTGCCCTAAACCTACCCTACCCTACCCTACCCTACCCTACCCTACCCTACCCTACCCTACCCTACCCTAAACCTAAACCTAACCTACCCTACCCTACCCTACCCTACCCTACCCTACCCTAAACCTACCCTACCCTACCGTACCCTACCCTACCCTAAACCTACCCTACCCTACCCTACCCTACCCTACCCTACCTACCCTACCCTACCCTACCCTACCCTACCCTAC